GAGATGCATCCATCGCATCACCATCCCATTCCATTCCATAGCCACCATCTATCCATGCCATTCCATCCATCCATCACTAATTACATCCTATCCATGTCCATCCATTGCATCCCATCCATCATTCATCCATCCATCCATCCACACCATCACCCATGGCCCTGCCATACATCCATCCCATCAATTCATCCATCGCATCCATCATCCATCTGATCCTCCACCATACCATCCGAGTCATACCATTGCTTCAATTGCTCTCTGCATTCCACTTCTCATTACCATCCTGGAGATCTGTCTAATCATCAGTATATAAACTGTTATACGTGTCCATAATCACCTTCATTACTACACCTATCAACATATTGATACATTACGTCATAGACAACAGATATACAATAAACAGATATACATATATACAGGTACTATTTACAAGTAAAATAATCTGCACCTAAAAATTGGGCAATTAATGGTAATATAAATTTATGCAGTTTATTTGAAACAAGAAAGTACGCACGTTACTTACATCCATAATTATTTCATGATTTCGCTCGGCATTACATGTTTTAAATTGATTTTCTCTCTCCCGTTTCTGACATTTGCCGTATAATCACTGCAACAAGACCTCAGCGCCGCAGTATCGGTTAGCATTAGACTACAGCTTACTATGCAGCTAGGTGCCAGCTTACATTAGTTCAGTAAACCACCGTAAGGCCGACGGTGCTTTTGGCCGGACTACAGGCAGCACTGTAGTACCTGCGTCATCCAACTCTATACAATCACGAGTGTAAAACCTGTTTCTACACGAGTGAAATACTTAGGCATCGCAGTAGTTAATGCATGTCCGAGCATCGGGCAACGGACGAAATCCATCATATAACCATGGATGTCACACCACGTCGCGGCCGTTAGTATCGCGCCGAACTTGTCTGAGTTATTTCCTGATACTATTATTGTTCTATATACACTGTCTGATTATGTGCTCGCGCATCGTATCAGCATAATGGTGCCGGGAAGCGAGAACTGCCATTTCCGAATATTATTTGTGGAAACAACGCGATTTCGCCATAATCGCGTAATTTATAATTATATTGAGAAACCGCTATTATTTGAAACGTCCATGAGCTATCTAACCCGGCTGTCCTACCAAATGTTCTCAGCAGACGGATTTATAAAATACATGCTCAAATCTGTGAACATATTAACTGTGCAGGGCAACTGTTCGACACTTATTACTTATTATATTTGTATATAAATATAAACATCACAACGCGATCAAATTGTCAACGAAGCCAACAACACATGCAATGACGAACAATGGCAGCGTACAGCAATGTAATCACGAATAACATTCGATATTTCATCAAACAACTGAACATATACAAGAGGTTACCCAAAACTGAAAATCCATATGCATGCTTATGGCTGAGAAAGAGACCATACCCATATATATAGGGATTCTTATCCGTTATTTGGTTGGAGCAATAACAAACCGTTTCTGTCACTGTTCTGATATTATTACTAAGATGCTCTGCTCAGTAACGTGCAGGGGCCTTCTAACTCAACTACTGAAGCAGATTCCTTCTGGTGATTCGAGCGCGACAGCTCGCATTGACACTATAGAGCGACAAATATATGGCCCGCGGCATAGGCTAGACGCGGACATCGAATTGGTGTTCCGCATTAATACGAAATAAAACTGCACAACGGTTAACCTAATGGGTATCCCAATTTTGTATAAAATACAAATAAACAGGCTGTTATGTGAGGAGGAATGGAGGAAAGGAGAGGAGAGGAGATGGAGAGAGAGTGGGGGAAGGAGGTAAGTAGAGAGGGCGCTCTACCTCCTCTACCTATCCATTTCCCTCCCTCCTCCTCTTTCCCTCCTCCTCCGACCTTCTCCTCCTCTCCTCTCCACACGCTCTCCCTTCCTCCTCTACCACCGTGGCCTCAGCGCTACCTTTCGCCCCTCCTCACCATCCTCCTCCTCCTCCTCTCCAGCCTTCTCCCCCCTCCTCCTCCACCACCTCTCCCACGTTCTCAACCCTCCTCCTCCCCTGCCTCTCCTCCTCTTCCTCCTCCCTCCTCCACCTCCTCCTCGCTGCCTTCCTCTCCCTCCCCTCCACCACCTTCTCCCTCATGTTCTCCCCCTCTCCTCCTCCACCTCTTTCTCCATCCTCTCCTCCCTCCTGCCACCACTTCTTCCCCCTGCCACCCTCCACCACCTGGCCCCTTTCCGCTAACTCTCTCCCTCTCTCTTCCTCACACCTTCTCCCCTCCTCCTACCGCCGCCACACTTCCTCCCCAGGTCTCGCCCGTCCTTCCTCCTCCATCCCTTTCTCTCATCCTCCTCTTCTCCCTCCTCCTCCTCCTCCAACCTCCTCTCCTCCTGCCTCCACCACTTACTTTCACCTTCTCCCCCCTCTCTCCTCCACCACCTTCCTTCGCCTCCTCCTCCGACCTCCTGCATGTATCACTGTTCAAACAATGAATAATATAACACAAGTGAGTAAATGTCCGGGGGTAATTGTCCGGAGGGTAAATGTCCGGGGGGTAATTGTCTCGAGGTAAATGTCGGCGGGGGTGATTGTCCGGGGGTAAATGTCCGGGGGTAAATTTCCGGGGGTAATTGTCAGGGGGTAAATGTCCGGGGGGTAATCGTCCGGGGGTAATGTGTCCGGGGGGTAAATGTCGCGGGGGGTGATTGTCCGGGGGTAATATGTCCGGGGGGTAAATGTCCGGGGGGTAATTGTGCGGGGGTGAATGGCATGGGGGGTAAATGCATGGGGGTAATGTCGGGGGGTAATTGTCCGGGGGGTGATTGTCCGGGGGGTATTTGTCCTGACACCATATTATATATATATATGGAGTCCCCAGACTTGTTGTAAGTTTCCCGTCTCTGGTATGGTTGCGTTTTAGCTTGCAGGCAATATGACGATCTACGTCTCTGATACCACTGTATGATTTCACTTTGATAAATTGAAGCTTTGTAGTTGAGTTGTGTGAGTTATGCCGTTCTAACCCTTGTTCCACATATTTATAGTAATAGGCCTCTTATACGGCATGATTCCTATAACATTCTCAGTAATGGGCCTAAATGCTTTCATATCCACAAACAGATGAGTATAAGTGGAATATATAATATATACATATATATATATCAAGAGTGGATAATAGAGATCTCTATTATCCACTCTTGATATATATATATATAATCATTGAGACACGACGAAGAGCCCTATCATGAAAGCTCGCATTTATAAATTTATAATTAAGGAAACACCGTATTTAATTATTCGTCCATGTCTTTATCGATTTCAGTGTGTTTTTACATCTCACTCTCTTATATGGCTGTTGTTACCATAAAAACGAATAAAAGCGATTTAGATACGCAATGAGTCTCATAACAATTGAGATACGCTAACGTGCGTCAACACAGCTGGACTAATGTGAATATAGCAGTCATCAAGATACGGAAACTCTCGAATCAGATGACGCACCCATTCTATATAAAGCTCTCGATCTCATTCAGACGGATTCTTACATGATCTGTCGAGGCTAGTTTCTCGTTTGACATGCCTCGCCAAAGATTATGTGTATAACAGCTTATTGCTTTACCTATGGCAGACGAGGACCTTTGTCGCTGGAATAACTAACGCAGTTTCCGAAGTGGCACTAGTGGAAGGCCATATACAAAACTAATTATTGCGAAGCCAGAATGAAAAGGCTACATCAACTAGCAAATCCAGACAGGGGTACGCGAGTGAAACGTAATTCTATCTGTAGATTCAGGATTGGACGGATTAAATGAGGAACGTAGATGCGTTTAGAAGGAGGAAGTACGTGCTACAACCTCATCACGTGATAAACCTAGTTTTACTAAACAGTTAACTTACCACTCCTCCATCCTTATAAGAAAAGATTTCGACATCGTCATCAAATTTCACATTGTTTTTAGGGGCCGTAGCTAGCGCGGGGGCAAGGGGGTTGTTAACTCCGCCACCAGAAGACGCGTAGGTATTTTACATGGGCAATGGCGGTCACATTCAAAAAGACACAACGCTGTGCCCTCAAACCAAGATGCGTTGGTTCCGCTGCCGGTTTTCAAACAGAAATAAATCTTGGACCATAATAAACATCTGTTAACTTTGTTTCGATGTAAGAATTCGCAACACTAACGCAGATTTTAATTAATCACCGAGAATACACAGCTCACCAGTCTAATAGATACCATTGGTGATGAGACGTCCACATTCACATATCAGCCATTAATATAGATACACCCGTATACATCACTCGGGCCACACAAGTCCTCTTGGTGTCTTAGGTGCGTCGGCTGATTTTGGTAGCGGAAACTCGGGTAAATCGACATCGTACTTGAGTTTTAGTAATTGTTGAATACCATCGTAGCCGCACGGAAACTTTTGGGACACAGGCAGATACTTCTCGACTTCCCGCCTCACTGATTCGGACACGGCGGGCAGCTTTTGGCGAGTTACCATCCTGACGAATATATCGTGTAGCAACTTCCCTCGGTTCTCTCTAGATCGTACGGTAAAAAGAATTATGCATATAAACCCGCATATCCAGAAATGAAAAAAATGAAAAAAAAGTATGCAAAATAATGTGAGTGATAATAAATAGAAATTAAATAATAAGTAAAGTAAAGTAGCATACACAAGAAACCGAATTCAAAGACCAAAGTTCCGATGTCGTGTCTTTGAGACGAACTCGCCATTTTCAATAATATCATGAATATATTTCTACAATGTAGGTACTACTATGTACAATGTGCTGTGGCTACATTACGTACATAACATGCATCGCATAGATATGTTCATTATAACAAGGGCGGATACTACTTTTCTTTCTTAATATCATATAACAAGTAGGGCTAGTATATCCCCACCTGCACCTGACGCTAATATATACGCGTGATTCTCACGGACCATGCACAATTAAACAAATAGATGTTGCTTTCATTACATTGCGCTAATGAACAAGGGATCGTTAGTACATCGCTTGGCGGCCGCCAGCTATATAGTACGCATATGTACTCACGAAAGCACTGATGCCGTTAAATGAGAAATGACGCTCTGTTAGGAAATTTCGCCTAGTTCTTCTAAATTTCTACCACTTTTATAATATTATGTATCACTTCACTATTACTTCTCCCTATAACACTTCCTATAACACTGTCATCATTGTATAGTTGTATAGTCACCCTAACTCTCCAAATTAGGAACACCCTCAAAACCGAATCTCACGTTAAACCGGGCGGTTTTTCAAGTACAACCACCCCTCCCCTCACACACACATGTAAGATGCCTCCTAAAAACCGAACATCACAGAAACCCGAACTAAATAGACGATCCCGAGAGTAGTCGGTATTGGGCGAGTTGACTGTATGTATTACCACTATATACTATATATGCTATCACTTCTGTGTTCGTTTTACCATGGCTTACTGTGTCGATTTCACGCATTGGCTGAATCATAACTAGAGTATACGCATGTAGGGTTCCGCTAAACTGCTCTTATCATTGCGAGCATAGTGTCAACTACTGTCGCAATATTTCCGAATGTTTGCTGTGTTCCCAGCGTTATCACAGGGGAACAGACCGCCATTACATCACCTGTTCGTAATATACCTCGTAACTGTAATATTATTAGCACATAGTGTCTGCTGCCTATCGTCGTATTAATTCCTATACGCAAATAATCCGAAGAAATATAGCATTAAATCTACTCGCCGTAGATCGAACTCATACGAAAATCATTTCTAGCATTATATATGCAAGGCACTCTCACCGAGACACTTATAACAGAGCACCCGCACGTATATGAGCTCGGTAACGCTGACTATTGCGTCTTAAAGTGAGCGTCGACTACTACTACTAGGTAATTGCTCTGCGCACAACTGTACGTAATGCTAGTGCTATCGATTTCAGTAGCGCGTACACAAACACGGATAAACACGCATACGACTGCACGCAAAAACAGGCAAACACGTCCGTACGCACGCACGCACAAGCACGTACGCGCGCACGCACAAACACTCGCATGTCGTTAATAATTATAAATTAATGACATTGTTATAAATATACGTACTCCATAATCGTGTTTATGCTGATGATGTAGTCAGGTGCTTCTTTCCACGTGTGGTTGATTAACCACGACTGACTATGGGAGTAGACTATCTGCCCATTAGCAGTCATCATCCTCCACATCGACTTGGTTTCTTTTATGCTGAAAACTACAGTCAGATTTCGTTAATCGTAGGCTTCATGGGAGGAGGCTGGGTTATTGGATTGCGTAGTATGGAACGCAATTGCGCGATATATTTGGCTATCATCGTGCTTACTGAGTTTCAATTTCAATGTTCACCGCTGATTTTATAGCTCAACGGTATTGAGTAATAATTTTCTCGAACCCACGTGCCGCCCTTCCACACACGTGCTTACTAAGTTTATGCTGGATTCCGATGAAAGGTAGATCCTCCATTAATATAGTTCTTTCGTACGGCGTGTAGCCACGAAGGTAACTTGGCATAAACCCCGTCAGTAGCGCCGCCCTGCAACAAAGTATCGCCACACGTCTCAGACTCGCCATTCCATTTCGAATACAGCGCCACGTTCAAGGTAACACGAAGTTATACGTAGGCGCATCTGAGTGATTGTCTGAAGACTCGATTCAGCTCGATATTTTTTCTACTTGTTCACTTGTGATGAGCACAGTGACCGGGATTGTCATCATTTGTATATCGACTATAAGAAAAAAACATGCAAGGAAACTTAAACGAAACCTTGCCGTAATTCAAGCGGGCATCACGCAGCATTGATTGCGCAGATGTGGCTTGCTCGACAATGTAAAAACGTATGGAGTTTCCAAAATCGACGATGATAGATGCGTACCGACAGAAAAAAACGTGATATTGCTTCCGGTGCGTGCTAAAAAAACTAAAGTTCATGCCCAGAAGCATTAAATTGACTACGTGACGAATTTTCTATGGTCAAATTAGTGAAAATGTTGTTGCCATTTTTTTACATTAAAAGTAAGAACTAACGGGACTAAACGTATCGTCAAATTCTTACCTGATAATATTGTTTCTCAACTAGTTAAAAATCCAAAAAACCTGGACGATTTGATATTAGTGTTCCTAACATTAATTGCTTGCTATGCATGGGCTATGTATGCGTCACGAGTGTATGTTCACATCGAACAATAATATTATAGTAAAATAAGGAGTATAATGCAGCAATTTAACCATAAAAAGTAAACAGAATTACTTATATATATTTTTTATTTTTTACTATTTACGGTGACGTAATCACTTTAAGACGTCGCATTTCGAGCAGATGAATTGATTTTTGTGCGTACCTAATTGTTTAAGCATAATTATCCATGCATGCATTGCCGTAACGATATGTGCAGAAGTAAAATACGCGCCGGATAATACCGAAGTTCGACGATCGAAAGGCAGCGCTTATTTACATAGTGGTCCTGCAAAGATGCGTGATGCACTTACTGTGAATCGATGTCGATTACGCGACCATCTAAGTGATGCTTGGTCCTGTATTGGTTTTCGGCAAGCGGAAAGCGCAGTCCCACCGGTATCGCATCGTTATGTTGCGGTGAAACGAAGGCGGACATGAATACGCCATGTCTGTTTCTATCAACTGCAAATAGCATGAAATGGAACGGTTAAACGGAGTCTCGGCATTTAAGAAGGAAACGATGGAATTCACAGACGGAACTCGAACAGCGCCAAAACAAAAACTCGGAATAAAAAATGTATAATAAAAACAACAGACTAAGAAACACTTCGAAGATTTCCACAGTAATGAGGCGTTTTTTCGATTGAGATTTCTATGAAGGCGACTAGTTCTACCGGCTGACTTCTAGGCCGCGCCGACCTTCACAGATTAGACAAGGCATATTAGAGAATACAGAGAGAAAAGGAAGAGAAGAGGAGAGACGAGACGAGACGAGATGAGACGAAAAGAGACGAGTAGAGAAGAGAAGAGAAGAGAAGAGAAGAGAAGAGAAGAGAAGAGAAGAGAAGAGAAGAGAAGAGAAGAGAAGAGAAGAGAAGAGAAGAGAGGAGAGGAGAGGAGAGGAGAGGAGAGGAGAGGAGAAGAGAAGAGAAGAGAAGAGAAGAGAAGAGAAGAGAAGAGAAGAGAAGAGAAGAAGAAGAGAAAGAGAAGAGAAGAGGAAAGAGAGAAGAGAAGAGAAGAGAAGAAGAGAGAGAAGAGAAGAGAAGAGAAGAGAAGAGAAAGAGAAAAGAGAAGAGAAGAGAAGAGAAGAGAAGAAAAGAATGAAAGGAAGAGGAAGAAGAGAAGAGAAGAGAAGAGAAAGAGTAAGAGAAGAGAAGAGAACAGAGAAGAGAAGAAGAGAAGAGAGAAGAAGAGAAGAAGAGAAGAGAAGAGAAAGAGAAGAGAAGAGAGAGAGACAGAGAAAAGAGAAGAGAGAGAAGAGAAGAAGAAGATGAAGAGAAGAAGAAGAGAAGAGAAGAGAAGAGAAGAGAAGAGAAGAGAAGAGAAGAGAAGAGAAGAGAAGAAGAGAAGAGAAGAGAAGAGAAGAGAAGAGAAGAGAAAGAAGAGAAGAGAAGAAGAAGAGTAAGAGAAGAGAAGAGAAGAGAAGAAGAAGAGAAAGAGAAGAGAAGAGAAGATAAGATGAGAGGAGAAAAGAGAAGAAAAGAAAACACAAGAAGAGAAGAGAAAAGAGAAGGCAAGAGAAGCAAAGAGAAGACAAGAGAAGAAGATAAGAGAGAAAGAAGAAAAGAGAAGAGGCAGAGAGAAGAGAGAGAGACAGAGAAGAGAAGATAGAAGAGCAGCGCAGAGAAGAGAAGAGACGATAACATAAGTAGAAATAAAACTAACGAGCGTTGAGTCTGTCACTGACGTCAGCCATCTGGCCCTCTACGCTGACGGGATAGTAGGCATTCACTGGTTTGTGGGACTTCAGCGCCATCCTCACAGATACGTGCCTCTCCGCCCGAGCTTGAAGCTCAGGTGAGCTATCTGGACATTTATTTTTTACTCATCAGTATTAGCGGCGCGAAGATAACTGGGTGCATAGGCAATATGACGCATTAAACTATTCTACAATATATATACATACATACATGCATGCATGCATACAACATACCATACCATTGCAATGCGCATGCCATGCACATGCATGGCATGCATACATACTTACATACATACATAACATAGATACGATACAGTACATACATACAATACATACATACGACAATACATTACATACATCATTACATACCATACATAACATACATACATACATACATACATAATATACATACATTATCATTACTATCATTACATACATACTATTTACATACATACTACATACCATACATACATACATACATACATACAGTGACATACATACATATCATACATACATACATACATACATACCATACATACATACATACAATACATACATACATACATACATACTAATACATACATATCATAATAATCATTACAGTACATACATACACATACATACATACATAACATACATACATACATAACATACCATACATACATACATACATACATACATACATACCATACATCATACATAACATACATACATACAATACATACATACAGATACATACAAGCTTACATACAGTAATCATACATAATACATACATTACATACATACATACATACATACATATAGTATCATACATACATACATACATACATCCATACATACATACATACATACAATACATACATAAAGCATACATACATACATACATACATACATACATACATCACACACATCAGCACACACACACACACAGCCCACACACACACACACAGCCCCCACCACATCCATACACACATACATACATACATACGATCACATATCATCACATACATATCATATACATAATAGCATACATACATACATATAATACTAACTACAATACACTCATTAGTATACATACATACATACATACAGACTACATACATACATACATACATACATACATACTACTACATACATAACATACATACAATACACTACATACGATATACACTACATACATACATTAACATTATATAGTATATATATATATATACATATATATCAGGAGTAGATAATAGGTATTCTCTATTATCTACTCCTGATATATATATATATGTATAGATATATATATAATATGTTATATAATGTTTTATTGCAGACATGTTACTAATAGTTTTATCATACACAAAGATCGAATGGCTGAAATAGTATGAAAATAATGTTAAAATACTGAAGAGGAATAATGTTGAATACGGAAACAAATTTATACAATATATATAAAAATTTTACTGGTAGTTATTAGTGTATAGTAATATTAAATAATGCCATGATTCTTCATATGTTAGTAAAAGACATTCTTATCGGTGTACATTATAAACATATACTTACCTCGCGACACCAGCATGAAAAGCTTGAAACAGTTGACATCATCAGGGTGCAGTATTTTATAAATGGAATTCCCTAGTAGATCAACCTGTAATACCATATTGAAATTTGTAAGACAATATTATATGAATTATGAATACAATTAATGCACGCCAGATTACTATATATATAATATATTTTATATATATATATTTATAATTAAAATACCCGATGGAACATATTCTGCCACGAACGTTTTTCGCTTTATTGCTCTTCAGGTGCATCTTCATCGGAAAACCTTATACTACACTGACCACAACACAGCCATGCATCGACACACAACACACACATCACCACATTCGCGCTCGGTGGGGAGCCCCCGGTCGAGACAATTGCGGGGAGCTATCGTGGTTGATCTGATCCCTCAGCCCCGCGCGCGCGCGCGCAGCAACATGCACCACACACGACACCACACACACATGCATGCACACATCCACACACACACCACATAACCAGCACACACCCACACACCACAACACACCACACACACCAACCAACACCCACCGGCACATGCACACACCACCACCACACACAGCCGTCTCAGTACACACCCACACCGCCGCACACACAACACCACACATGCAACAACACACACACACAATCACACACACCACACACACGACACACCAAACACATGCCCACCAACGACACGGACACCAGAGACACATCACCACAGTCAGCAGCAGGCACGGCGACGCACACGCACCACGCCACGACGCGCACACGCACACGCACACGCCACACCCACGTGGAGCATCGGTCCACACGCACACGCAAACACGGGATCCGGCACAACGCAGCACTTCGCATAGCACCACCCAAACGCACAGCCGCACACAGCCCACACAACGGTAGCACACAACCACACGGCACCGCGCACGCCACAACACACCAAGGCAGCACGCCACACACACACACAGCCCGCGGCCACACACACCCACACACAGTACCAATATATATATATATATATATAATACTATATATTATAAATCTATATATATAACGCTAGATTTAATACAGTTATTACCGCATAAAATAATTTTGAGGTAAGCCTGCGCCGCGATATCATGCTATGACAGTGACGTCACTTTCATGCCGCATCAACGTCAGCAGGATTTTCGCACATTCCGTACACACTTCCTCTCCTTATCATTACGTTAGCGTGTAGCGGTAGTTTTAAACCTGATGGAATCCTTAGAAGTTCACGAACGTTTCTCCGAGACGTAATAGGGATGGAGCCGTTTGTTCTATTGAGAACAGCACTCCATATCATAACTCTAACGAGAACGGAGAGAGCAACGAATTATATATATATATATATATGTGTGTGTGTGTGTGTGTGTGTGTGTGTGTGTGTGTGTGTGTGTGTGTGTGTGTGTGTGTGTGTGTGTGTGTGTGTATGTGTGTGTGTGTGTGTGTGGCTGTGTGTGTGTGTGTATATATGTATATACCATCATATTTTAAATATTATAGTAAATATTAAGTAAATTTTTGTATTTAGGTATTAAATGCTGATGCTGATTTATTTTATTTTGCACTTTTTATTCATTTGTACAGATCATTTCAGATAGAAGTAAAAAGGGAGAGAAATAAATAATATTATAAAATCGATAGTTTTAAGGTGAATGTGCGTAGTGGTCAAAGTAGCAATAAGCTTTCGAGTTAACCACTACCATAGGTAATAACATGTCTGAGGGAAAAGTACAATTAAACTAAATATAGGAAATAAGAGGGAAACAAAATATATACATACATACATATATGGAACAGTATCTAGAACAAAAAATACAATTGATGTAATAAGTAACAAGAACAAGAAAGCAATTATAATATAATATATAACTAATTTCTAATGGTCCTAAATAACGTACACTAATTAAATTAAATTAAACATTTTTGGCTGTATACGTACAAACAAAATATATACATATATACATATATATGGAACAGTAAAACAAAAAATACAATTGATGTAATAAGTAATAAGTAACAAGAGCAAGCAAGCAATTATAATATAATATATAACTAATGGTCCTAAATAACATGCACTAATTTAATTTAATATGACAATATGCAAAACGATTTTGTATGTGACAACATTAGTATGAAATACACGTCTATAGATATACAACTTTTTAAAACAATTATTGGTCCTGCCGTATGCGTTTCATTTCAAATAGTAATAAACAATACAATTAACATTAAAACATTTTAATTTCGAGAGAATCCAAAATATTCACTCAAGAGCCTGTTTCGATAACCGATCTGCAGTTTTTGTCAAGCTGTATCGTCGCGGATGAGCTGTCGAAAATGTCGCGTTTATGGCAGATAGGCAACCAAATCTGACAAAAACTTCTCACCACATTTACTACACTCACTCCAATCGCAAAAATCTTTTGCGTGCACGTCTACTTGCTTCCTTGACATTATCACCTTGAACGAACTATTCTAATAAACTCGTATTATTTTAAAAACGTATGGAAACACAGTTTAACAGTTTAGTAAAACAGTTCCAAACGCTTTCTTTAGCGAAGAACTAATTTCTTGAAGTTCGCATGTGTCATATATTTTGTTTAATTAATGTTACTTACACCTATACTATTTCACTTGTCATTTTCTAACGGCTATATATTATTATGCAGCAGTTTGAGCTAGCCTAAGTTTACTGCGGTTGTGGGCACTCCTTCGTTTACGAGGATTTGCAATAGTAGTACCAATTTGCAACCGGGCACTAACCAATAATACACCAGTGCTCTCGTAATCGTAATCATAATCGTAATTGTATAATCATAATTGTAATCGTAACAAATTTTGCGTTTCCGTCGCGGTTTGGAATATTTAGGCGGCAAACACAACCCGGCTGGCCCACCTACTTTTCAGAGCTGAATGGTCTGAGAGGAATAACGTCTATAATCCATACGATGTTCGTGCCAAATCACTAGTGGTAATAACACAATGAGTATCTCGGAGATGCAAACAGCAATAGGCAAAAATCACGGGGCGACTCTACCAACTATATGTTATATAACTGGGATTAACAACCCCGCGTGTACAGTGCCGGTTCACAATGCTACAACATAGCTATTGTCTGTGTATTGCAACAACGCCATCCTGTACTGCTGACATGATGTATGTCCTATAGTGTCCCATACAACTAACTCATTTCTCAGCTCATCCATTATAGCAACTATTCAAACGAATCAATCCAACCAATCAAATCCTCGTAGGATTTTTATATAAATGTATACTATGTGATTTCTAAAATAGAAATGAATGACTGCGATAACAATAGTGTCTGCAGTTAGACATATATACTGATGCAAGCGCGCAAGACTGCTGTACTGGTAAAATGTTATTATTAACTATAGTTGAAGAACCGTACCTATATAATGCAAGCTTAATATGGTTGCCCTCGTAAGGAAAGATAATTTGATACATCGCGCCTATATTCCGTTATTCTAACGGGAGTATCCTACCTAGCCACAGAAACATGTGGGCGACAAAACGGTCTTCGCATGCGCCCATTTGTATTTACCATATTTAAGTAATGGCTTAACCTAAATAATAAAACCTAATTAACAATAATTAACATTACCGAATTAAACCCAATAGGGGCCAAATAGCCAAATAGGACCTCTAACAGCTTCCGACAGCTTTGGGCCTGACCATGTCTAAATCCGGCCCAGATGTATATATATATCAACATGCGATCGCCATAGCGTATCGTATCTGATGCCCCACATGCGGTGACATGAAAAATCCTCTTCTCTAACCCCCTGCTGCAAACAGGGAAGCCCCACTGTCATTACTGTTTACTTACATTGAAAATCTGACAAAGCATATCCTGTCTGTCAAGACCGCCGATCACATTCGGCCACGCATTCCCTTTACGATAAAGAGGTTTCGCCAGATCTGAAGGTTATTCATGAAAATACATGATAATACATGATAGACAAATTTACATGTATCGTCTTCGAGGTTAGCTAATCTGAGCGTGCGTTTCACCTGCTATGCCAAAGCAATTTTAATTTTTTATGGTTACTCATATTTCACCTGGTACTAACCCTCTTTTTTTTTATAAACATTCACCTCAGATTGTTCACATATTCATTAAAAGCTACATTTGAGATTTCTTTGTTCATTTATTAACTTATTTGTTTAGAAATATTGTTATAATTTCATAGTGCACACTCACCGACCCACATCTTCATGTAGTTTACGGATAGTCTCAAAATGGCTGATTTGTCGAAGGCATGCCGGATACCACCCACGAGCGGGTTGACGGTCGCTAGTTCGTTGATGTAAGCGGTCAGCCGGTCACGCCGCCTCTTCTCACACAACCGACGCTCTACCTTACCGCTAGTCGGTGCAAAAAGAAGAAAAAGAAGATGAAGAAGACGATGACGATGACGAAGAAGGTGGCAAAAAAGAAAAAGAAAAAGAAGAAGAAGAGTAAGAAGAAGAAGAAAAAGAAAGAAGAAGAAGAAGAAGAAAGAAGAAGAAGAAGAAGAAGAAGAAGAAGAAGAAGAAGAAGAAGAAGAAGAAGAAGAAGAAGAAGAAGAAGAAGAAGAAGAAGAAGAAGAAGAAGAAGAAGAAGAAGAAGAAGAAGACGACGATGATGATGATAATGTCGCCGACGACGACGAAGAAGAAGAAGGAGATGACAACCACGAACACCAAGAAGAACTAGCCAAGCGGGTTCAAACGTGCCAACGTATTTACAACATAAATAGGAAAAATATGATTTCTTGAAATGATCTTAGATGCATGGGTTCAACAGTAACTAAAGGTAGGTAAACTAAAGTAAAGGTAAGTAAGGTATAGGTAAGTAAAGGTAAGTAAACTAAAGGTACTAATAATAGCATCAATAGCAGATAAACTATGTGCTCTCGAGCCGTTTATGTGCTCTTGATACCATCTACCTGGCATGTATCGTATATTCTGTTTTGCATATACATGTTATCAGAGTACGTATATAATAAACGGGTAGTTGCAGAATATTCCCGGAGAAGTATTATATCCTCTATGCAATTTCCTTTTGTGCTCGTTATGAGTAAAACA